GAAAGAGAGAGATGTGATCAGCAATTGATGCCTGGAGTGTCGGCCTGTCCGGCTTGGATGGCGCCTGACTTTTCATGGTCTCAATGGCCAATGAAGCCAGAGGCACATCATTCCACTCAGGCTTGATCCTTAGGTCCTGGACAATGGTTGTCAGCGTCTCCTCAAAAGGATAATACCTGGTGTCAGCCTGTCCATTGGGATGGAAGAGAACTGACGCTTGGAACTCTTGTTCTGGTTCCTGTAGCTGTTGCCTCTTCCTTGATGGCTTCTTCCTGAGGAATTGAATCCCCTACCCCCCCCCCCTAGAAGGGTATCTTCCTCCACCATGACCACTCTTCCTTGGAATTTCATGGTCTTGCTGGTGTGGTAATGCACTCTTTGCTTGCTTGTTCCTTGGAACTAGCTTGTGTTTTGGTGTGGATACTCTTGCAGGAAGGATCTCACGCGGGCACTACTCTTGTAGTGCCTGTAAAAGCTTCTTGTTGGCTGGATAGCCTTCTTTTGTGCACTCTTGGTGTACGGCTGAATAGCCTCTTCGTTGACAGCTCACGTAAAACGTGGTTCTTCTTTGTTTCTTGGTGGAGCCTTGGGAAGTAGCGAACTGCCTCTGTCGGTCTCCTGTCTCTGCTTCTTGCTGCAGGACGTTGTATTGATGTTGGATGAGTGCACTGAGTGAGTAACAATGACTGAAACAGTTCTCTCGTGAAGATTTGGGTCTCCGTGATACTTATGAGCTTCCTCGTGATTTTTGTGTTTCTCTTCACAGTAGCGCTGTTTCACTCGAATCAACCTATCTCACTCAATTCTAGGAGTTAGAAGCTTGCACTGATACTAGAGTTGCGGCTAGATGTCCTCTATGGATTGATGTATGGGACCTCTTGTTGCAACGCCTGTGTCGCGAACTTATCTTAATCGCCGTTCGATGAGTTCTGCTCGTTGTGATGAGACGGACGAAAATCACTCGCGAATGACACGATGACGTAATCCTCTTCAACTCGGTGAATAACAGCAGGATTTCCTTGCTTCAGCAGGACAATCCGTGTAGCTTGTTTCTCCTTGATCAGCTGGTGTACAGTAGATCTCTCCAGTTCCGGCCGGAAACTGTTGATCGTTCGTATCGTACCTTGTATGCGTGAAGATGGGAATCCCGGGCACGCACCCTCTTTCCTGTTAGAGGCTTTTCGATGCTCTGATAGTGTGGCTAGAGGCTGATTCTTCGCACCTCTGCTCTGTTGCAGTAGTTAACTCAATACACTTTGACTTGATAGTCAATAGGTTGCTTCTCGGTAGCACAACTCGAGTCGAAGAATCTCGAGATGGCGCTGATAAATGTGGTAAATATACAAGTATATATACTACAAGAATTGCCTCCTCTCTCACCGAATAGATAAGATTTTTCATGATTTCATAGGATTAACAGTACGCCCTACCTTCGTAGACCCAGCAGTGACTTACCTCGTACCCCTGCAGTTGATTCCACCATCCTGCAAGGGCCAAGTCAGGGTACATAGTAGTATCGTTCGGTCCCCGGGGAGTTTGGGTGCCATGGCCTGTGGTTCGATTCCTAGGATGGTTCAAGGATCGCACCTCCATGGCGCAGCTCTCATGTCGGAAAGCGCCTTAGTAAGTATGCACTAGTTAGTAGCGCCCATAAGTCTTCTCATGCATTCTACAAGTCTGCAACAACACCTGCAGGGCTAGAGAGGCACGACACATACGTACAGCATGCACCGTTCCAGGGGAGTTAGGGTCTTACATTCCCCGTGACATTCCCTACCATCAACTCGTTAAGACTTTGGGGGAGAAGTTCACCTCAAACCGGTGAGATTGGCAAGTCTCACTCGTAAATAGTATATGACGTTCCCTAGTAATGTACACATAGACTATGGGGGAGTTCTCTCTGAAACTCTCCAATCGTGACTTAGTCGGAAACGGAACACTAGGTAGTATCGTCTAAGTCCTTCAGAAAGATCTCCACCTCGCTCGTGAGTTAAGGAAGAACCGGTACTGGTACACCCTCTACGTACCAGGCACTTGTACTCGACAGTCAGAATTCCGCTTTCCGTAATATGCAGGAAGCAACGTTCGAAGAACACATCAAGCCCGTGGCTGACTACTGATCTGTAGTTAGCAGTCTTCAACATCACCCGTACCGTTAATATCGCTCGTGATTCCCTGGAAGCACTAGCTTCGTCCAACTATAGAAATACAGTAGGATCGCTGAATAAGCGACTAGTCAGTTTGCACGACCAATGCGAACACTCCCTACCCTCAGGAGTTCTTCGAGGTTCCTGGGGAAGCGAGTCAGTGAGAATGGAGAACACGTACCTACACTGACGTCAGTATCTACTGACGTACGAGAAGATCCTTCCGTGACACCCGAAGGCTAGCGCTTGAATACAGGCAGCGCTAAAGCGTAAGATATTACCTGCATACACACCAGCTACGTGTAATTAGTGCTGGCTTATCTCAAGTGCTGTAATAGCGTTCGGCAATGGGGGAGTGATAAATGTGGTAAATATACAAGTATATATACTACAAGAATTGCCTCCTCTCTCACCGAATAGATAAGATTTTTCATGATTTCATAGGGCGCTTTTGCTTTTCAGTGTTGTTTGCTAGTAATACTGCAGCTTATTGGGGAGTAATTTGGTTTTAGATTAAGCTGAAAAGCAAAAGTGAGGATTTTCTGGTGGTGCATAGCAATTCTTGTGATTGAATTGGATATAAGGACCCCCGTAACACTTTAGACCTAAAACTCCCTCGGTTCCTTGCATGATGAATTTGCATGCGAACCGGACTAGATGATTAATACACGAGTCAATGGTAAAGAGGTGTCAGGTATGTTTCCTCCAACAGTGGAGCAGCAACATCCATGTGCTAGAAGTCCTTTGCGAGAGGAGTCAAAACCAGCTGGTGGTTGGCATTCACGAGGTGAACCTCCCGGGACTCGCTAGAACGAGGTAGACGTAGAATCCCCTTTTAATTTTTAGCTTATTCTTTTGTGTCATCCCATGTCTACATCGTACTGCACATCGGCCTCCGTTCGCAGGTTATGAGCCCAACTCGTTCGTCACACTTGCACCCAAGTCGAGACTAGGTGGAGGTTGTTTACCTCACATAATTGGCTAGTGGAGTGCGTTTGATGCGATGTTGCGTTCGAAAAACCGATGGTTGACCTCTATCGTCATGGTCGGACGATGAGAGCTGGATCTTGCCGTTTTTCGGCAAATTCAGACAAGAGAATCAGGTCACATCAAGATGATGGTGTTGACCGCAAGACCGCAAGCTCAAGCTTGAGCTGAGCTCCACGTCGAAATCCAAATGGCTGACAAACCATTTTTCGGACGACGACGACCAGGTCAGAGACAATCTACGTTGTAGTCTCGCCGTACCAATCCTAGTGAAGTCTACGCAATCCTGGATACCATTCAAGGATGATGTGGCACTTCGAGCTGGATTCTGACCTGCAAGTTCGTCAGTTCGCTGGGTTGTCGCTCCTCTTTTTCTTTTGAAGTCGACCTCCAGATCACTTCGAAAATTGCGCCAATTCCAAGCCGACCATGACGCGAACTAGCACTCAGCAAACCCGAGTAGAACAAGAGACTAGAGAACTCGAAGATGAAGAGCTCTCCATTCCCATCTACTCACCTCAACCCTTCCGTCCTCTAGGTCGCCGCGACTCTGGTCTGTGGCCCGACCTTGGACAACAGAACAACTGGATCGACGAAAGCCGACGACGTAGCGCAGTGTTGACCACGAGATTCCAGCGGTTGATGGAATCACCGCCGGCCTCGACCTTGGTTCAGCGCGCGCGAGGTGCCCTGACAACCTCTCGTCTTGGCAGATTGACCTCTCGCCGTCTGACTTTCTCGCAAGATGATTCCGACGCAGCTCTCGTCGCAGGTGGAGGTGGTAGTCGCGGCACTGCCGGTGCGACCACGACCTCTACTTCTCGCAAGAAATCCAAGTCGAAATCAAAACCCAAGCCTGACTCTGAACCCACGGATCCTCCCGATGACGACGATAACGGCACTCCACCTGATCCAGAGAATCAACTTGGAAAGCCAGGACCCGGTGGCCCCGGTGGTCCAGGTGGAGGTGGTAATGATGATGACACCAATGATGACGATGACGATGATGATAATGGCAATGATGATGGAGAGGAAGAAGAGGAAGTACAAGACCCTAATGGTGAAGTCCTCCACCACCTCCAGGTGGATGGCCGTACCCTCACCGTTGTACTGCAAGATCCAAGTGGACCTCATCAAGCTCGCCTATGGGATAAGGAGAAGTGCCATACTCTCCGCGATGATGCTAGACAGACCTTTGTTAGAGCTGCCACAGCTCCTATTCTGGGAAAGCATGTCAAACTGGCCAAACAGTCCCTCCAGACTGATGTCCATGGCATACTTGAGCAAGTCCAGAATCTAAAGGGCATGCTCAAGACTCTCAGGATGCACATGGAGCAATATGACATCATTGATGTTTGCCACATTATGACTGCGATGGGATACAGCTTACAATTCAGCTTTACAGCTTTACAATTAGCAGGCTTATTCTAGAAAATAATCAATAACTGCATTCCATGCTCTGTCATCATACTCTCAAAGGCGATAAGAGAGGCTAGCACATGAGACCCAGAAGCATTGGATTCAGTCAAAGTGGAGAAGAGTAGACTGGGGGAATCCTTCAGTCCTTTCTTGCATGCCAATTCAATAGGCTGGAGTGTGGTGATGTTTTAGATGGTCGTCCCTGGAAACCCCTGAGGCAAAGGGTGCTCTGAGGTTCCTTTCCTAGTCCATCTGAGCCAGATCCTGTCCAGGCTCCAGTGTCGTTGAGACCTCCAAGCCGAGGGGCTTCTGTAAGCTTGGTCTTTTCCTTGGTTTTTCCAATGTGCTGGAGGAGCTCCTGGAACTGAGTTGCAGTCAAAGGTGCTGTAGTCATGGTTGGAGGATCAGCAGGAACAATTGGATCTGGTGCAAAGAAAGCTTCTCTGAAACCTTGTGGGCTGAACAAGGGTGCTGGTGCTGGTGCTGGTGCTGCAGCTGTTGTTGAAGATGAAGATGCTGAGGCAGAGGAAGCGTCGTCAAGGTTCATCAACAAGTGAGAATCAAAAGAGAGGAAATGGCAATAATATTTTATTAAATGGAATAATAGGAGGAGCGGCAACAGAGGAGCGGCAGCAAGAGAGGCGGTGGATATATAGAGCGGCAATGGCGGCAACAGGAGTAGCGAGTAGCGCAGTGGCATCCAGTCAATCGAGTCAATCGAAGTTGGATTTATGAGTGGTTGGATCCTTCGAGCGAGAGGAATTCGAGCAGGAGTTCAAACGACCGACTGCAAGCCAGTCTCCTCTTCGTTCGAACGACGACTGCAAGCCAGTCTTTTCGTTCGCAACGCACCGATTCCAGTCCTAGGTAGCAAACGAGACCAATGACAACTGCAAGAGAGTCGGTCGTTTGTATGACCACGACAATCGACATCCTCGCGAGCGATCGATCGCTTCGTACCATCCGTATCCGTACGCTCTGTACAATTCGTACCGGTGTTTGAATCCTTCAAACGACAAACTGCAAGCCAGGAAACTGCAAGCAGTTCATGCCAGTCCTGGGTAAGCAGAGACCATGCACACATACACGGAGCGATCGGCGCTCGTGTTGTTGTTGTTTGTTGTTGTTCGTGTGCGTCTCCGTCGAGTTAATGAAAAAGTGAGGAGTAAAGCTTCGAAGACATAATGCAAGCATGACTCAGCAATTCAAACCGATAATAAAGGGTGAAATGGCTCGCAAAGAGGGCGAAATTGCTCGCAAAGCATGACCCAATGCATGACACACAGGCCGAGCTCATTGCAGACGGAGCTCATTTTTCGACGAATTCTGTTAACTCTGCCGATCGATCGATCCATGTGAAGCTGAGCATGGAGGCATTGACAATGGCCGGACTTTACCGTGCTGATAGAGATAACAGTAGTAGTAACCGTAGCAGTACAGTAGTGCTCCTGCAGCGATCGAGATAATAGATCCTCATTGAGATACGATCTCAAAAGGATAAGAAACACGGGATTGCTTGAGCGAATCCAAGATAATAGGATGATCCTCATTGAGATTACGATCGTCAATAGGAGTAAGAAAGGGGATTGCTTTCGAGCGAATCCAGGGAAGTGAGTGCAATAAGGGAAAGATACCGATGAAAATGCAAGAGAAACTCATCAGGAGCATCTGCATCAAGGAGTAGCACATTCCATTGACAACCATAGGGATAGACATATAAGAAATAGAATGAGTAACATCTATAACCTCGCATGCTACCATGCGGACAATACCATTGTGCATTGATTAATCTAAGGATCTAAGAGTGTAAAGTTTGTATTTCCAATAAGGTGA